AAGTACTCTGATGATCAGTTTGGAGGTTAGCCTCACCAAGACAGGATGAATGCGAAGCGAGCACTGCCACTGCTGGGATGTGGGGGGGGAGATTCTATATACGCAAATGACGACGAAGAAATCGAAGAAGTCACCCGCTCTGCGTACCTTGGCTGTGAGGTGGACCACATGAATTCACTGAACCGAAAATTCAACTGAAGATGGACGGCAACTTGGTAAGTCGTCGTCGATTAAAGTCATTACTCAACAGCAAGCTGCTGGTGATGGCGAAGAAACAACTGTTCCATTCAACCGTCGTACACGCCAAGAACTGCGGCGCTGAATGCCGGTCTACTTCTAAAGCTGAGGAGAACAGATTGAAGGTCACACAAAAAGTGATGGAGTGAAATATGCGCAAGCTGTCCCTCGGTTATTCAGTTCCGAGGGTACAAATTCGAAAATGGACTTGATTAACTCACATAATTGTTGCCTTCTGCGACGCCAAGAAAAGACGAGTGCTTTATGTGGCCCACCTGAGAAACAACCGGTAGACGTCAATAATTATAAACTGACTTCCGCTGAATCACCAGCGTCCATTCGGCTGCTCAAGAACTTGCTGGGATGATCCAGTGGTCAGTGTACTTGATCAACGGTGGTAGCGGAAAGCGAACGATAAGATGTGTTGGGGAGCGTCGATTTGTGTTCTTCGTGCATTCATAATGAGTATAATGGACTATGGTTCATGGCACGCGATGGTCCGAAAGATGAACTCAGCGATACCCTGTTCGAAAAGGATTCATTTGCGATTTATATGTTGCTGAAGAAAGGAACTGTTGAGTTATTCCATCATTTAATCAATAGCTCTACTCCAGAGGCACATCCTTGAAGCTAATCAAAAGCAAGACAATTAAACAGATTTACTTCCGGAGGAAAGAAGCAAAGAAGTTCAAGTCTGCTATTTGAGATAAGATTAAGGAACAGGCAATTCGAACTCTGGCGAAGTAGGGAGAAGACGAACTTGATGACAGACGGATTTACACAATAAGTTATAGTTATCATTAATGATCACCAAATATGATAAATCACCAAGCACGTCTGCTTCAGAGAGCAAACTCATCATTTGGTCCAGAGCTCACTAGAACGTGTTGTACGGTGTGGAGTACATGCAGAGGAAACGCTGACATAACTGAAAACAGAAATTTATCCACTGCGGTTATCACGACACTGTATGAAAGCACAGTGTTACCGTTACAACGACGTGCTACGAATGCGAAACCAGGGCACTGGAAAAAGTTAATGAGAAACCGTTAAGAGTGCAGCAGCTGGAAATTCAAAGAATGATGCTGGAATTGGCACAAGCGGCAAGTTGGAAGATGAACAGGTCAAAAGATGCAAGAGAATATATGGCATAGTTTCATTTTCAACAGATCTAAAACAACAATGGATAGGTTACATCGAATGCCTGAACGGCTGACAGATGGATGTAATCGGTGGCGATTGGTACCAAAGGAGATGCAGCCATCCGAACGAAAAATATAGACTCAAATGGGACGATGAGTTACATGAGAGATATGGCTCCCTGTGACTACAAATCACTCGAAATACATGAGCGTGGTTTACGGGATTAGGAACTGGTGATCTCAGCTAATCGTGCGGGATCGGTCGAAAATTTAGAAAGCGTTTAAGCCCTGCTAAAGGTAGAAGCTTCCTAGAGATCTGCTTATTTGTTGAACTTGGTATCTATATAATCCTGTTTCGTTGGTATGGGTGGTTCCGCGGGACCAGAACTATACCCATTCGCTCCTGTGAAGGTGGTCAGCTGGGCGCTGTAAATTTCAGAATAGAGAGCTACACGACTGGCAGTACTTGGGGGACGCACATTTAGAAGATTATCAATACTGTGTCCCGGTTTCAACAGGTGGCCAACTCAGACCTGCGGAATCTGTTCTGTAAACGCGATCGGAGTTACTGTAATCGGGAACATCGGTTTGTTATGCTGGATCGTTAAGGCATGGCATCAGGTAAGAAGTTTTTCGATAATATATGAATGTCGTTAAACAGGGCAGTTGGCCGGACCGGTTTCGAGGAGTATTTCAGCGTTTAGCTGACCTTGAAATCAAACAAACTTTGCACAGATACATGAAGGGTTTGTCGTTCGACAATTGGACCATGAGAAACATCAATGGAGGACGGCACAGACGTTCGCGACGACGTCCCCTCACTCGAAATGCCGTAACTGCACGATGTTGACAGTTTTTGCGGCATAAATTGCCTCAGTCAAAAGCCGCTTTCTCGCGTAATCCTTGGGAAACCCTCATCCATCGATGTAGTGCCAAACGTAGGGTAAAAAAGGTAAAACGATGAAATTCTCTTACGGCGCGCAGATGGTGCTTTGCAAGTTTTTGTCACAGCGTTAGAGTTTTTCGAGTGTTTGCCAAGTGCAATGAAGTACCCGATTCATGGCGAGGCAAAAGCCAACGTCAGCAATTGAAGACGTCGGTAAACTCAATCGGACGTTAAGTACTGCGGTTCGTTTCAACTTTCTGCCAACTGGACGTTTTTCGAAGTGACGGAAGAAGTGGAGAACCTACAGTGCAAATTAGTCGATGTAACATCTAATTAGCGACGGACAGTTCAGCGCAAGGAATGAAACAGACACAGCGAAAATCTGGCACAACGTTTATCATGACGCGACGAGACCAGGGCTGATCTACGGTAGCAGGTCCACATATACCGTGTGGGAAATGCGTACGTGGGTTCTTGACGGCTCCCTGTGGCACAGCGGATTGGCTGTGTGAGTCTTGTCCCTTAGCGTCCATAACAGTACGAGGCTCGACTGAAGGCGTCTCATCGGCCAACAGTGTTTTAAAGCGTTCGAGAACATTCTATCAAAATCGGTTAACCATAAACTAATTCAACTAACGACCCA